ATCTTGTCACGTCTCCGGCGAGAAACGAAGTCATCCAAGATCTGGTGGCATTGGACCCGATGACCGATGTCTACGGCGGCATGAGGAGGATTCGAGTCGATAACCTCTCGACACTTACGAAATAGCGGTGACGATCAACTGGGTTGGGCTTCACCTCTAGACCAATTAAGACGGCAAGCCCAGACATCTCCAGTAAACGGACATAACCCCCACGGGAGCTTGGAGCCTCAAGACCGAAGCCCAGTCCAGTCACGAAACCTACTTCGGCGAAACCGACATAGGCGAAGAGGGAATCCGCGAAGACTTAGGAAACTTAGCCGACTTAGGAACGTTATATATAGTTGATGTAAAAACCCTTGGAGGGGCATCCACAACTCTTTTGAAAAAAACATACATAGCAATAACAAACGTTTCTCTTTGCTCATCGTTTCTCTTGTAGCTTAGCCTAGAAATATCTGCCTCCTCACGAAACCCTTACAAATCTAATTGTGCTAGTTTCGACTCCCACATTGTTCAACAAAAAAAATATATTATTAGTAAAGTATCGTAAAATATAACAATTTGTAATGATTTTTTTTTTGAACGTCTATTTATCAATCATGAAAATTTTGTTACAAAACTCATCAAAACAAATGTTGTATACAATTTGGAACATAATGATAGAAACAACAAGAATGAAATTGAGATTGTCCCATATGTGCAAGCTTATCGGCAATGGCATTTGAACATCGTCCAATATGGACTATACGAACACCTGCAAATCGATTAATCCAAAAATGAATTAATTAGATTATCCAGTACTATGTTCTTTGTTCGGCCATGAATGAGATTAACAAGCTGTTGAGAGTCTCTTTCGAATATCAATTGGCGATATCCGTGAGTCCATAAAGTTTGCATTGCGTGAAGTAGACTGAAACCTTCTGCCTCTGTTGCGGAATTTGCACGAGGGAGGAATGATGAGGCTGCTGATACGAACTCTCCATTTGAGTCTCGAACTATCCAACCGAAACCAATTTTGTTGACAGAAATGTGAAAGCTTGCATCATGATTGCATTTGAACCATCCAATGGGTGGTGGAATCCAGTTTGGAGTTTGATGCAGACGGAAATTCTGAATTGGTTGTGGTCGTTTTGAAGTTGCGTCGGGCCATTCATGTGCTTCGGTTTGAGCTCGAACAAGTATGTCACTTGGTTCCCATTTACGTCCGATATCATTTTTACCTTTCCAAAGACTCCAAATTAGCCAGAAACGAGAGGTTATTTGGAGGGCATGATTGGTTGAGGAGATATAACAGTTGTAAAGAGCTTTGACATTTTCTTCTCAAACATCATACGAGGCGGTGCCTTGGAATGGGTTTCCAGGAAATAGATTCCATGTTTCCAGAGCGTGGGGGCAAATAAAAAGGATATGGTTGGGAGTTTCGTATGCTAGATAGCATCGTTGGCAAAGAGAGTCAATGGGAATACCTTTATCGCAAAGGCTGGAACCGGTGGCAAGAGCTTGAGATAACGCTCGCCAAACAAAC